ACTGTGTGATGCCATCATGTCAATATGGACCAAAATCTCTGAGGAATGCTTCCAGCACCTTGTTGAATCTATGCCAAGAAGAATTGAGGCAGTTCTGAAGGCAAAAGGGGGTCCAACCCGTTACTAGCGTGGTGTACCTAATAAAGTGGCCGGTGAGTGTATATACATACATACATACATACATACATACATACACATATATAAACAAAATATAAAATACATATATATTATATAAAATATATAAAATACATATATATAGTAATTTATTAGTATAGAAGTGAAATACTTATTATTTAGTTAAACACTGAACATTTTCTATCTGTGATCCAACACATGCATGGTTAAAAACGCACAAAGTAACTAAACACAAACATAAAGAAGGATAAACAAACTGAAACAGAATGAAGAGATCATGTGTTGTTAGATTGAACATGACACTACCTGCAGTATCCTGTCCTGGGCAGCAGGGGTGCGCGGGGTGCGCAGTCCAGCTGTCATGTTGTTGGTGACGCTGTACTCAGACAGGAGGGTGGAGGAAGCTGAGTTTCCACCTTCGCTCTCCTCAGCAGCCTGACGAGCGACCTCGCTGGCAACACCCATTTTCACCACTTCCTCCAGCTCAGCGTCGCTGATCTGAAACATCCAGGTTGAGAACGAGGTGAGTTCTGATACAAGCTCACATGATCACATCACACTGTGCTAAACAAGACGCAAAGAACAGGAGTGATAAAACAATACAATCCAGCTGTGTATACAGTTCACATGCTGTCTGTTTGACCAACAATTTAAAGGTGTTAAACATTTACAGATGTCCTGTTAGCCTTATTTCTGCATTATTGTACAAAAAGCATTTCAGTTTTTACGTTTGTTGGAATTTATTGAAGTTATTATTTTTGTCATGCATTTACAGCTGTACTACTTTACGATTTTTATAAACAAAGTTATTTTTGCTGTTTACACCTTTTAAGTAAATATCAAATTTGTTCTCATATTTCAGATTTGTTTGTTTTGCAACACAGGTGAATTACTTGAACTTAATGTAGTTTAGTGGCTTCTAGTATTATTTATGGCTCTGAAGACAGAATGTAGTGATAGATTTATAATACAGAAGTTCAGGCTGATATATATATTTTTATTGTCACTTATCATTACCATGATAAAACCTAGCAATGATGGTGATACATTGTTTTTGTCTATATGGCCCATCCCTAACAGACAATAGTTCAATAGTTTCAGTGTTTTTATTTTTATATTAAATGTTGAGCTCAGACAGCTACGTGATTCTTTTTCTTCTCAATCTCTAGGTTATTTTTACGTTTCTGACTCTGAGTAATTTGTTTCAAAAGCCGAACAATATTGTTAGTCATGTTATAAAGCAAAATAAAAACTATTAAGTAAAACTGGACACATTTTTTCAATGCTTTGAAAATACAGGTATCTGATCGGCATCGACAAAACTAATCATTTTATAAATCGGACCACATCAGGAGCCAAAATATCTGGATCAGAACATCTAAACTACTACTGTCACTTTTTTTGATGTAGATTGTTTGTTTTTTCTCCTCTAACTGTAATGTGACATGTTTGTAATAAAACGTATTTATTGAAAATCAGTAAAAAAAAAGTATAAATGGCAAGTTTTATTTTCAAAAATCAACCTGTTTAAACATTTGTTCTGACTGGTATGAGATTAAATCTGTCCACACTGAATAAAAAACTCTATTGATATAAGAAATGTGAAAAAATGGAAAATTTGTTTATTTATTAAAATAAATAAAACTAGGTTTATGTCAGAGATTCTTAACCTGTGGGCTGTGAGTGCCCCCTTGAGGGCCTCAAAAGAACAACAGGTTTAACTTTGGGCCGCAGAGGGCCGTGGGACCACATTRATTTTGAATAAGGTGCAATACACTTTCTCACCACTAGTAGCAGTAGTGCACCACTCAGATGTTTAACAACTTTTTAATATGTAGAAGAAGAACCTTAGAAACCTGCTGAGAATGGAAACTTAGAAGCAAAAATGAAGGTAACTCATCAAAAAACACCAAAGTTTGTCACTAATATGAAGAGCAGCTTCTGTTTCTATC